TGACGGGATCCCTGCAGTTCATTGCCTGATTGCGGAAGCGTTTGATGAAGGTATCCACCGACTCTCCGCCTTTTTGTTTCTCGTCGAAGAGTGTCCTGATCGACACCTCGGTGTCATCATCAAAGAATTGGGCGAGGAACTTGCTTTCCAGGTCCTCCCAGCTGTTGATGCTTCCGGGCTTGAGACGGCGGTACCAATCGAAGGCAGGCCCGCGAAGGGTGCCAACGAATGACCGAACCATCAAGGGTCCGTTGCCAGAGATCACCCCCAAGTGGGACTTGAAGTAGATCAGATGCTGAGTGGGGGAGCCCTTAGGCACGCCCGCGAAGGGTGCCAACGAATGACCGAACCATCAAAGGCTCGTTGCCCGAGATCACCCCCAAGTGGGACTTGAAATAAATCAGATGCTGCGTGGGCGAGCCCTTCCCGTTGAACGGCGTGAAGTTGATCAAGTTGAATTTTGCCGGATACGGGATCGAATCCCACTCTCTCGGGTAAGGACACGGAATGCCGGTCCTCTTCACCTCCCGAACAGACATCAGGGCTTCGATTTTTCTTTCGAGCTCCTTTATCTTTTCGGCGCTATCAACTGCGGCGTTCTGGGTGCGACGGCTGGATTCAGCTAGCTGACTTGACAAAGTGCGGATTTGTTGGTCGTGCATTTGCTTCATCTCCTGCATAGCCATTCCCATTTCGATCTTGAAGATTTCCTTCTGCCTAGCCAGGGCCTCTTCAATGATTTTGGCTATCTGTTCGGTGTTGGCCATGCACACCTCTCGAGCTTGCCCTATGCTAGACGTTGTATCGTCAGAAGCGAGAGCGGAATAGGAATCCGAGAGTTCATCATCGGAATGTACTCCCTCATGGATCCCACAGTAATTGTCATATCTGACGGCTTCTAGCTGAAGCTGAACTGTTCCCGAATTGACCCTGCTTCCTGGAGAGGAATTAGGGTCGGAATCACTTGAAATGATTGGGGATTTTCCTTTGTTGACCGTGTTGATGGTAACTTCTGGGAGTTCGTCATCTCGATCAACCGATCCTCTTTGGTGGGAGTTTGATTTGGGCTTCGTTATCCCATCGGAAATTCCCTCGAATATCAAGACCCTCTGCGGAGCGGTTTTGGGGCAGCTACAGGTTGATAATACTGCCCTGATGAATTTGGTACACGGACAGTGAGAATCCGCTTCCCGGGTGTTTCTCT